CTTTGGTGTCAGGGTATTTTCAGCTAAAGATGTCACTAGCCCTCCAAAGAATGTGTGTTTAACAGACTTGGATAGAACAGGATAAGGTAACGTAAATGATTCCAAAAAACGGTGTCATTTTAATAATACATACCAGCAGCATGGTTTGGAAGATTTGGGAGGAGGGATTAATATATATAAGAATAGCACAACCTGAGAAAGACAAGTCTAGGGCAGCCAACAGTAATAACCCAGGGAAAATAAGCTTTGCTGACAGCAACTTCATTTGCATCTTTTGGCAGAGGTTCCTCATCAGCGGCAGCCCTCCACCTTCCTTTCCCAAAACAAGGGAAACGGGGGGCATTTGGCAGGGGGCTGCTCAGAGCTCACAATCGCATGGCACAGCTCTGATATATCTTGGCAGAGTGCCCGCTGTGGGTCTGTGTTTCCAACCACCAGAAATAAGAGGGCCCAGAGCAGACACCAGCAAACTCCTCTGACACAAATGGCAAGGTGTTCTTACAGCACCAAATCCCCAGGAAGCTTTGAGCTTGACTACGTCACCCTGTATGTCATCCCACAATCTGAGCACGAAGCAGAGTCCAAGAATGAAGAGAAATGCATATAAGTGTATTGAATATAAACAGCACTGGGCTGGGCTTCAAGTCTGTAAGGAGAGAGAAAAGGCAACCAGGGGGATGTTTAAATTTCTTTTTCTATATTCTGCTGGAAGGAGGAGTGTCGGGTTCTTAGAAGGTTTGCTGGACCAGCTGAAAAAATGGTTAGAACAAATAGACACATTCTCAACCGTGAGCTGCTGGCTCAGTTCCATTCATAGATAGCCACAACACTGCTCCCTTTCAGGATAAGCAGTGATATGCAAAGTGCAGAAGAGGAATAAGAAACAGTAAGCCAAACAAAATTTAAAATGTTAGAAGAAAAAATGAAAGGACATATAGTTAAAACTGGCTTATACCAACACCATTCATTGTATTTTTTCATACCTGTCTATCCTTGTATACCACCCTTGCTTCCACCAACACAACCACACACGCTTCATACATTACCGTTTGTTCTTAAAGCTTCACACCTTGCTCTTTCTCAGAATCTCTCCATCTCTACCCAACCACAACGTTTTTGGACGTCCTCTTCCTCTTGACCAATTCACAATTTGTTCCACATTCATTCTCTCTATACAAGCAATCTGTCTCTTCCGTACTGCCCCACATGGTCACTCACTTCTGTATTTAATCCATTCATTTTTTACCTAATCTCTTCTTCTTCTTCTTTTATACCTGCTCATTAAGCATTCCGTATCCCCTGCATTCAGGTTCGCTACTTTTAACAAATATTTCACTTCTAGCAAAAAAACACACACACTACCCTGTATCTTTCTACCTATATTTATATGTCTTAACATTTCTTTATTCATTTTTCAATCTTTATTAAACATTCTACCAAGGTACATAATAATAATAACAACAACAATAATAATCTGCCCAGCTCCCAGCGACTCTGGGTGCCATATAAATTTAATAAATTATTATTATAATTACAAGTTTATCAACTCAATCTAGTTTTTCACCATTTGGGTATAACTTGCAATTCTTTCCATTTTCCCTGTCAAATGCAACCCCCTTAACCTTTGACACAATAATTTCCAGCTTCATATGCCTTATTTTACTGTACAATACCTCTTGCATTCACTGCGGATCACATGGGTTCTCAGCTAACATACAGCATGAAAAAGTATACTTAAATTCACATTCCCAAACTGATACATTTCTAACATCATTAAATGTATTCCTTGCACATTTATCCATCACATGTCCCTGTCTTACCCCTTGCTCAACGCTGAATCATTTGCTAAGCATTCCATTTATTCTCACATGTTTTATTTCTATCATATATCGCTCTTACCATGTTCAGTCACCAACCTACCATTCCATCCATATGCAAAAAAGTCCATGGCTTAAGCTTATTCACCTTATCATGCATGTTTTCTAAACCAACAAACATACAATAAACTTCCTTGCATTATACACTTCTCAATGACTTGCTGAAGAGCAATCATCTGGTTTGTATTCTCTCTGCCAAGCACAAACCTGAATTGCATTTCCCAGACTTCGTTCACTGTAAAATATATAGCATATCCTTTTGATCAGAACTCTGCAAAACCTTTTCCGGGTACACTTAATGAACTAATCATCCTATAGTTTTTGCAGCCACTCTTGTTACCTTTCTCTTTGTATAGAGGAACAATAGCATTTTTTCAAATCATCAGGCAGAGTTACAGACTTCACACAAATATTAAACAGCATCTATGACTTCTTTGGTCATTATTTTTTTCTTGAACAGCATTTGTTTCAATTCCACTTTTTGGAATATCATCATTTTCATAATAATCTCTCCGATACTCCTACCAGCATGCCCTCAGTTCAGTAGCATCCAAAATTACTTCATCACTTTTATTTTTAATTCCATTAACTCTGCTGGAGGTTCCTTGTTTAGCCCCACTGTTTACTTTTATCAAAGCCACTCTGCATTTGCTCTGCCTCTTAAACTTAACAGTTCCTTCTTGTTTTTGACTCATTTTTTCACTGTATTATAAAATTATAAAATATCTTATAAAGTGGCTTTATAAAAGATTTCATTCTTTCCAACTATTTTTCTCGGTATTACAATATAATAAAATATATTTTATAACATAGCTTTATAAACTTTTTAATAAACTTTTAAAATTCTTTGTAAAATATCTTTCTCTCATCCTCATTGTTCGGAAACAATAATTCTCTTACATGTATTTTTTCCTCATCCATAGCTTCCTTCACTTCACCATTCCACTAACCATATTTTTCATACTTTTAATTAACGTAACTTCACAAACGTCAGTCTATCTAAATGTCATACTTTTAGATATACACTTTAACCCTTATGCTCACAATTAAACTACACCTTCTCTTCCCTGAATGTATTCATCAATAATCCACAAGAACAGATGACCATTCATTCTTTCCCTTCCCCTTAGTTTCACAGACATACAACATACAGGTAGTCCTTGCTTAACGACCATTTGTTTAGCGACCATTTGAAGTTACGATGGCGCTGAAAAAAAAAACCTTACAACCGGCCCTTGCGCTTACAATCGTCGCAGCGCCCCCACAGTCACGCACTTGGCAACCAGCTTGCACTTACGATGGTTGCAGCGTCCCAGGGTCATGTGATCGCCATTCATGACCTTCCCAGCTGGCTTCCAGCAAGCAAAATCAATGGGGAATCGCAATTCACTTAACTGCATGATTCGCTTAACAACCATATGATTCACTTAATGACCACAGTGAATTGCTTAATGACTGCTGCAAAAAAGTCATAAAATCGGGGGGGCGGTCACGTGATGCCTCACTTAGTGACTGCCCCACTTAATGACAAATTTTCCAGACCCTATTGTGGTCATTAAGTGAGGACTACCTGTATCTATTTTTCATTATTTCATTTCCTTCATTCATTTTTTACCTTTACTCCTCTTACATTCCATATTCCAAGTCACAATCTTCCATATGCTATGGTTGTCATCAGATAAGTCTACAGATATTAACTTCTACTATTCACCATGGCTTTTGCCAATTAATACTTTTACTAACTTTATTAAGATAAAGTATAGATTCAGTTACTAGCCTTAGTCATGCCTGTGCCATATGCAGCATTCCCTGTTAACAGTAAGAACAGTCCCAATCAGTTTGGACATACTTGGGCCACCAGGCTAGGCTGTAAGCACAACAAAAACCCTGTTTTACGCCAAGCATGCTCATGCTATTCTATGCAAGCTAGGATATCTATTTTAGAGACTACTTTGCAAACCAACATAATGTTGCCCACAATTTGGAGGTACATGCAACGTACTGACTAACACTCAGGATGTTGGCTCAGTCCCTCTGTTAAGAAAGATAGAGGAACTGTATATCTATACTTTTACTTGAAACTCTAGGACTTACCATATGAGAAACAGAGATAAGTATGCTATTACAATACAACACGCTGCTAACATTTCCTCTGCAGAAGCAGATGACAGCCACCAATTTGTGGTATTTCGGCTCACACACAGCATCAAATCATTGCCCATAATAAGCCAGCATAAATTTTGTTCTTTTTTTTAAAGCACAAGCCTTAAGTTAAATATATAAAAGGTGCTGTAAGACTACATGCCAATGGATAGGGAACCAGGCTTATATGTAGTTAAACAGGTTTATATGTAGTTAAGCAGGCAATTTAAGCAGAGGGTTCCTTATTGTAAACAGAGGGGTTTTTTTACAAGTACGGTATCAGAAAGTAGTAATTTGGACAATTGCCAAGCACTGCTGATAACAGTGCAAGGGTCTTCTCTGCTGCTCCTTTGTTGAGTGCCAAGTGGAACTCAACAAAATGGCCAGGGAAGAGTTACAGGGCTTTCATGGGAGCCCCTTCTTAAATATGGGGGGATGTTCAGAATCTCTTGTTAACAGTGTTAGTTTGGTAAAACAGAACACTGTGACTGTGGTATATGGCAAGACGATATGGACAGCAATGCCTAGGAAGGATCATCTACTCATAGTAACCAGATTGCGTCCACAGTGGCTTAGGAACTAAGACAGGCACTACAAAAATTGCAGCTCAACACCACATAAGAAATGCCAGATAGGAGACAGCTTGAGGAAAACTTGGGAGAAGGTAGGTGGCATTAACCACTTTTGCCTCTCTCAGTTAACTTGGTTCCAGACAAACAGAAGAGAAAGAAAGAGGAACAGAATGTATTTGTTTTTCCAGACAACCAAGTAAATACTCTTCTTGCCCCACTCTCCCCCACCAGCTCTCTGTGGCTGTCTTGTGACAAACTGGCAACACATTCCTTATAATGACCCACTCTCTACCTGAGCCATGCTACATCATTCCAGGACATTATGGGAAATTATAATGGCAGCTGCCTGAGTTCATAAAGGCACCACTGTTGCTTTTCTCCTTTGGGGGTACAAGAACAGATTCCTTACCTCTAACTGTGATTCTTCTTCTACAGCAAAGACTTTTGGAAGGAAGCCTGGCCCTCTGCACATGCATCAGGATGGGGTTCCAACATTCCCCCCAGCTCCCCAAGACTGATGAGTAAGCATCTGAAGAAAGGAACATAGGGGAGGAGGAGCTGTGAATGCACAGATGACCACTTGAAGAACTACAGTTCTTCATTATAGTTTCTGGGCATCACACACAGGGGAGAGTAGTAAGCTTAACTCCAGGAGGTAGGCAGCTGCTTCACTAGTTGAGAAGAATGACAAGACAACCCTTCCAAAGCCCACCACAGTTTTCTGCTCACTCAACCAAATAGTTGCTTTGCAAAGATCTACTAGACTCTTTCCTTGTTACAGATCAGATATTGATATTGATACCACTTTCACGGAATATCCCCAGTGGGCTTTTGGTAGAGGAAGTGTAGCCTCCTGACAGCCTAAGCCAATAGTTAATGGTTTCTCTGAGTTAGTAAATCTTTGAAATGAAATTGGAATGCCCTTTCTTGGGGCAGCATAGCAAACAAACAGCATCTATGAACAGCACTTTGCACGTTCAATATAAAATACTAGGGGCCTTCTCACATCCAAGGTGTCTAACACGCATTCTAAAGGATTAATGCAGAAATCCAATAACAGCTTTGATAGGGAGGAGACATTTCATGCCAAAATCATCTTTTCAGGAAAAAACTGTAGGAAACGGGGGTGGGGTGTCTGTCTGTTCCAAGGGTACAGAGTTCCTTCACTGTTTTATGGATGTGGCTGCTGCCAGGAATGCCACCTTGAAAGACAGAGATGGCTAATGGTTCTCTAGTCAGCTGGAGAAAAACAAGTAAAAGAATTTATTGTGGGGTTAGAGCTGTGATTGGCAAAAAATCAGGAGGAGTCTGGTAGCACCTTTTCTGACTAACAAATCTTACTAAAAGACATAAACTTTTGTGAGCTGGAGCTTACTGCATTCAACTGAACTTGGTACTTCTTGTAGATGTAATAGGAGAAGAGCTGTGTTAGTCACTGGGGGCAAAAAATCAGGAGAAGTCTGCTAGCACCTTTTCCAGCTAACTAATTTTTATCAGCCTCCTTTTGATTTTTTGTCACCATAGGCTAACATGGCTTACTTCCTACAGCTGTGACTGGAGGGTACAAGTTTATTTAGTCTTTTAAAACATTTTTTATGGGTGGGTGGAGGAGGAAGGGAGGGAGGGAGGAAAAGACAAGACTAAATATTATTCAATGTGGGCTTAGTGTACTGAAATGGCTGCCACATATACTTCAATAGAAAACGAGTCTTCTACAGTTTAAGAGGAGAAATTGAAATAAAGTGTTAATTTTGCAGATGATTGAATTGATACCAAGATGGAAGAGTGAAGTCCATGAAGCAGGACCATTTCTTTGCATGGATTTCCTTGCTGATGCTTCCAAGATCATGGTGATAAATCTCTGAGAAGGACTGAGCTTTAAAACCAAGCCACGAAGTAGGAGTTGTGATCTGGATGGAGGGGCTGTCTTTATTCCTGCGACCGAAGGGTGCTCCTTTGAGGAAGGCATCAATAAGTATCCTTAGACATCTGGAGTACAGTGGTGCATCTGGAGGAGAATGGTGGTTAACTGGGCCACCATGGGGATCAACAGTCTTTGATGAAGTCTCTGTAAAATCTTTGTGATTAAAGGTAGGGAAGGGAAGACATAGAGGAAGAGGACATTCCAAATGTAATGGAATGTGGGATTATAGTCTAGCCTGCCACAGAAGCACTGGCTGTGATGGTTCAAGACAACAAAAAAATGAGAGAAGATAAACAGTGAAATAACTAGAAGAACTTGATTAATCTGACAGAGAGGTTCCATGTGATACAAGCAGTTTAAAAGAAATTGAGGGGAATGTGGGAACTTCACCTTCTGACGTGCCTAAAAGGGTGGGCTTCCGGTAAAGTAGGTTCCAAGAGAATGAATCCACAGAGGCCTAGATCATTCTCATTTGCTTCTTTGTGAAAGCTTGGCAAAAATATATGGGAGGAGTGGGGCCACAGTATTTATCACTCATTGTAGAAAGAGGCCCTCTGACATAGGAGGCATACAAAAAAGCTGTGCACCGTGCTGCCTCAGCTAAATATTGCCACTGGCTTAGAGTGTCTGTATAGCTGTATGGCTGAAATCCACTTCTATGATGCAATATCACCCGTGGTTAATACTGTACAAGTGTCTTAGACTGCCACATTTATTCATCTTTTAGTATTCAATGTAACAATAAAAACTGCCCACACTATCAAGGCTATTTTCGTGTGATGTTGTAAAGTACTCCTTGTTTAAAAGTAGCTCGAAAAACTCTCATTTGGAGAATTTGGGTTCAGAATGGGATTAATACTTCATCAGGTAGTAAAGTACTGATACCTTTAAAACCTCTGAAGCATTACAAAAAGAATACAGCTTAACTAATACAGTCAAATGGCAGTATACGAAGCTAAAATATTTGCTAGCTTCAGATTTTGCAAAATGCATTAATGAGCAGCTTCTAAAACTGGTTGGTTGGAATACCCTATATTGCAAAATCAGTGACATCAGGCTTTAGGAAATTATAAGTATGCTTCTTGTAATTTTAAAAACTCATTTAATTCAGCAAAATATACTTTTTCTGGGTTTACTGCATTCCTTAAAAGGATATCCCAAAAAGCTCGGCCGTCATCTTTTTCACACTGGAGATACAACAAATTTGAAAGAATTCTAGTGTATATGATATGATCGTGTCTACTGGCACTTGATTAGATAACCATAAAGAACCAGAAGTGGCGATGACCGTGTCATGAACATTTGAGTTCCTTTAACATTTAAAGAAAAAAATTCCATACCAAACAGGAGCAGAAATGAGAATCAGCATCAAACTCCACCTCAGGCAATTAATTTTTCATTCTGTTCTTGTCCTGTCTTGATCTTGAACCCATTTTGGGTTTTCCTGTGGTGTACGTGACTATTGCATGTACTGACTAAAGGAAATGTGGGGTAAGCCCACCTACCACATTTGTCCTATAAATGATCCCTTAAACAGGAAGAATTATACCCTATGACTGCTGTCCGCGAGGCATTTTTTGTTCATCCACCCTGCCTTGTATGAAGGAGTATTAAAATGATATCATCTTCTCCATATAATCCCCTTATGTGTTCCCGCTGCTTATCCTTTTTCCTATCCTGAAAAAAAATCCATTACGGAAAAAAAATATCCAATAGCTCATTAATGCATTTTGATTGGCAGGCTAAAAGCTGCCCATCTGGAAACATCTATTACAACTATAGGATATAAATTAGGAGTGGTGTATCTGTGAGTCAGCGCACTTCTATCAGCACTCAAAGAGAATTGAGCATGAATGTATTACTCTGATTGGAAAAATGGGTGGGTGCAAGTTGCGGGAAGGAATTCTCAAAAATCAGGTAAAGAAAAACTCAGCCCTCAGATATTTCCATGCATCAGCAAGGGGAACGCACAGCTTGTTTGCCTTGAACACTGCCTTTGTTTTCTCCCCACACAAATCTCCCAGTTTGGAAATCTTCACTCGAAAGTAACACATTCAATAGCAGTGAGAAATGTGTGGCAGTCGTGTGGGAAGTAGAGAGGTAAGGAAGCAGAGTTCAAGAGCACTAAAGATTTGCTCACTTCATGCTGCACAGGCAGAGGGAACGGGAGGGAGAAGCATGTTCAGAGAAGAGAATAACAAATCCAAGGGAGAATCTGGCAGAAGAGTATAATACGTGGGAAGATCTTATAGGACACATAATGGGGCTGCCAGATCTGGGCTGCAAACATCCAGATAACCACTAGATGGTAGCACAGAGTCAGTTTTCTGGAACTTTTGTCTGCCATTTAAAAGTCTTTCAGATTTTCACAGCCCAGATCCAATAGCCAAAGCACATACACTTCTAAGCACCTATATATCAGTGTTTCTCAACCTTGGCCATTTCAAGCTGTGTGGACTTCAACTCCCAGAATTCCCCAGCCAGCATGGCTGGCTGGGGAATTCTG